AACACCTGTTCTATCACTATGTAAAATATTCAGATGAATTTGACCAAAGCCTCAGAGTAAGTAAGTATGGGACTGGAAGAATTATCAGATTTTTGTTTATTATTCATATAAGGCTACAAACTGGGGAACAGTAATAAATGCTCTGTAAAAGTGCTTGTAAGCAAAAGGAGTAAAAGAGAAAATATGCAAGTCCATAAATGAAAATCTTGCTTATTCACAGCACAGTCCAATCTGGATTATTGGTAAAACCTTCTGAGGCCACTAGAGTGTTCATTCCCTGTGATATGTGACACAAAATGAGCATATTTTGCATGACAGAATCCAATCAGCATTTTTCTTCTCCAGAGGAAACTCAGCAATTAGGCTGTTGCTGATTAACAGAGAGACAGGAGTCACATTATGAGGTTTAGGTAGCAATTGCAGGACTCTCTGGTGGGTTTCTTAGCCAAGTGAATACACATAGGAGATTTGCCATGAAGCATTAGGAGCATAAATATAAAACCTGAAAATTGAAGGGTATTAAGTAGGTTCTTTTAATGTTTTCTGGGAAAGGGAAATAGATGATACAAACACAAAACAGAGACACCCAAGAGAGCTGCATGGTTTCATAATGAAGCCGCATGTTTGAGACAGTGATGTGTGCATTTTAATACTGGGAAGGATATGAACAGAGATTTAAATATTTTAAATAATTGTGGAGAAATGGTAGGAAAACATTAATAACTATAAGGGGCATAAAGTCAAACAGACTGAAGGGTCAAATTGCTTACCTGGCAGTTGCTGAGGAGCGACACCCATAATTGTTGACACACAAAAGGAAAGCAATTGGCATCATCTCAGTAATCCTTAAAGAAAGCCAGAACCATAATTATTCCTATTATTTATTTATTTAAAGTTTTTATAGACTGTTTGATTAGCAAAGAGCTCACAGAACAGTATACAAGATCAAAACCATGTAAAAACATAATATACATATTTAGTGTTAATAAGACATGTAAAAATCCATCAAAATGCAACCTTATAAGCAATAATTAACAAATCATAACACCAAATAATTACTAATTTATATTATGCCAATGACAATATCAATAAAACCAGTATAAATTTGAATAAAATGTTTAGCGATTAAAATACCAGAATAAAATTATTTTAACCTGGAGCCAAAATCTGTACAGTGTCATCACCAGGCATACTTCCTGGGGAGCTAATTCCACCATCAGGATGCCACAATGGAAAAGGTTCTTACCCTCGTGGCCTTACTTCTTTTAAAGATGCCTCCAAGAGAAGGACCTCCATAGATGACCTTAAAGTCCAGGGGAGATGTTCCTTTAGATATCGAGGCCCTAAACATTTTAGGGCATGATATGTTAATTTGAGCACCTTAAAGTAGGCCTATACTATACAGAGGTGGAGAGACTGAAGCTTAGAGAATACAGGTAGCATAGTCATGGAGACTGAATACTTCACCACAGGGTTGTAGTCACAGATGGAGGTGGATAGAAGCCTACCTCCATTCCACGCATGTCCCTCAAATGAAAACAAAAAAAGGGTCTAAAAGTTACTTTTGATTTTGGTGACAACTGAATGGATAAACCTCTCAAGCTAGGCTGTATACCAGGCTGAGCTATTTTAGTCTTACATGCTCTACTTTTTTAACAGAAACCCACCCAGTACTCAAGTTAATGTCCCATTACCTTTTGCAATACACCTTTAGGAACTGATTTTTCAGCAGCTAAGCAGCAAGGTGAGGTGCAAAAAACTATTGTGAGGGGACTAAATTAGGAGGATAGAGATTACATTTCTATACCTTTTGTATATTTCCATCTGGCAGGGAAAAATGGTCCTTGGAAGGGAAGAACCTCTTTACCTGGTTCAAGGACACAGGGGATCAACTAAAGAAAGACTCAGTATAAATGTGCAGAAGAACTAGAAGACTCTCTGCACCAGTGGAAGCAGTGGAACTCTCAATCCATTCTAAGTTATTTGAGGAAGAGATGGGTGAGAAACCCATTATGAAGGAACTACACAACCCACCGAATAACAGAACAAGAGACAAAAGGTCAATCGAGTTAGGAAAAAGATAGCAAAAGGAGAAAAGTGATAGTTGTGGGAGATTCTCTCTTGAACGAGATGGAAAAACATGTATTTTGGGAAGACCCATAGAATCGTCAGGTGTACTCTCTCCCTACAGCGAAGAGATGTAACTAACAGACTACCAATGCTCATACAACCTATCCAGTGACACACATCCCTTCCTTCTCATACATATGGCAACTACCAACACTGCCAATGAAAACTTTGACGAAATAGCATCAGACTCCAAAAGCTTAGAGAAGAAAATTAAGAACATTGGGGCCCAGATATTTTTCTCCTTAATCCTTCCAGTTCGCAGAACAGGAAAAGACAGGAGGGAAATACTCGCCGTAAATTCCTGGGTACAATCGTGGTGCAGCTATGAGAGATTTTGATTCTAGGACCATGGGCTAAACTTCCTGGAAGATGGACTGCTGGAAAGCTATGGTTTGCACCTTACAAAGAAAGGAAGGGATGTATTTGACCACACCATGAAGTTTATCAGGAGGACTTTAAACTGAATTTGGCAGGAGAGGGAAACATACATCTGGGCATAACATCAGTTCAGGATCATGTATTGCAGCAGTGAAAGAAACTCTAAAAGGGCCTAACACTAGTTTTCCAAAAATGTAGGAAAGAAGCCAGGGAACAATGTATGTGGCCTTCGATGTCTCTAAACCAATGCCCAAATTATGGGAAACAAATGACATGAACTTGAACTCTTAATACACAAGGGCAAATATGATCTGATAGTAGTCTGATACCTCTGAAACTTGGTGGGATGACTCCCATGAATGGAATTCAAAAATTGCAGGATATAATAGAGGTGTTCTTAATCAGTAGATAGCCTGACTCTGGGATTGGAATTCAATCTCTTCTGTAAGGTGCTGTGTTCCCTTGTAGAGATCTGTAACTTGGGAACGTTCTTTGATCTTACTCTCTCCCTGCATCTGCACAATTACATTTGCTTTGTTAGCAGCAACCCTTCTTCTGCACTGGCAACAGTCATCCATGCCTTCATCTATCATGCTGCAACCACTGCAAAGCACTCTACATAAAGCTAGTTCTGAAGCATGTCTAGAAACGTCAGTTGTTGCAAAATGCTGCAGCTAGGCTGCTAACTTGTACATAGTACTGGAATAATATTAGGCCTGTTCCATGAGATCTGCAATGGGTGCCAGTTGCTTTTTGCAGTCTGCAATGTGCTCATCTTAATAAGTAAACCCCTGAAGTTAAGATTTGATTAAATGAGAGACCACCTGTCTACCTATGTATTACTATCTGCAGGAGAAGAGTTTTTGAGACCACTACTATCACAAATGCTCCCCAAAATAGGACCCTTTTCTCAGGCATGTGTGTAAGCATGTTCTCAAGGATACCTCAACTATAGCATGCACTCCTTAGAGATGTAAAGTCCTGGGGAAAAAGAAAATTTCAGGAAAAAAAAAAGATTGCCATCTAAAGACCATTTTGTTCCCTCCCTCCCTCAAAAATGAACAGTTTGTTTTATTAAATATTTTGCTTTAGAATGTAGGCAAAAGTTTCATATATTATTACCCGCCTTTACTCCAAATAAATTGATTCCTTCAAATTACGTTATAGGAGTACCATTATACAAAAACTAAGAATGTAGGGTGTGGAAGCTGTGAAATCATGTGGGGCTTTTTAAATGAAAATTATTTATGAATAATAGGTTGGGATTACATAAAGGTTCATAAATGTAGTTGTTTACCAATCCTAAACTGGGAAAGGTAACCCCCACTTCACAAACAGAAACAAGTTTAGGAGTTTCTCTAAACTTCTTTAAAGAGAGGAGCAGATGGTACACACCAATTCTTCCTAACTTGACTTATTGGGTGATTCAGATGTTTCAAGGACTAGTTGATGAAGTTTCCTCTAATCAGGAATAACATAAAAACCTAAAATATCCTGTGCATAACTTGTTTTGTTCCTAAATGCATACTACTTTAAAAGATGGATTTATTCAGAAATAATTACAAGAACAATGATAATTTTATGAGTAAATCAAGGTAAAAGTAATATAATTTAGAAGCTGCTGGTCTGCATTATGTTCTAAAAACAAAAGACCTCCAGATATTCTGGTCTACAGTGCTCAGCATTCCCAACCAAAATGTCTGGAGGGAACCAGCTGGGGAGGTTGTCATAAAACACTAAAGTAGATTTGTAAAAAGTGTTTTCAAAAAGTTGCTATTGCTACAATTGCTACTGTTCAATTTTCTCCCGAATTTCCAGCTCCCAGCCTCCACGAAAGCCCATTTTCACCACTGTTGCAAAACGATCACATAGATCTTAGGCTACATTTAATTCAGCAACAATTATGTTTCCTGTATATCAAGAGCCAAAAATATCTTTTGATAAGGTAATGCTATTCTCTGTACTTTCTTGTCTAGAAATGTATTTCATATAAGCCGTTCACAAATGTTATTGTTAATAGCAATATTTAATAATGACAGTAACAATAATAGCAACCCAAGAGAAAAAGAACGACGAGCATCCCGAAAAGATATTCCAAGTGTTTTTCAGTCACAGAAATATTTCTTTAATAAAGCGATACAAATAACCAAGAAATTGTGGAGACCCTGCATCTGTATAGTAAAAACCCGATAAGGAATTGTCTCTTCAAATATTTGTCCCTTTCCCGCGTTTGTTTTCCAGTCTACGGAGGGCAGATCAATTGAACCCAGCGCGGACACGGAAGCACATAGGATTGGTCCTCCAGTCTCAAGTGATCTTCCATATATGCCTTCTCGCCCTACGGCAGGAGCTATGCGTGCCAGGGGCTCTACGCATGCGCAGTGCGCGAACCCCGTAGCTCCGGCTCCCTTGTGACGTCTTTGCTCGCTATTGATCGTGATGAAGCGAGAACGCCAGGCCCCGCCCACCTATATAAAGGGTTGCCCGTGAACTGGTCGCCATTATGCTGCGGAACAGGCCGCAGACGTGAATTGTTCGGAGTACTGTTCCGTTCATTGTTTTCGGATCTTACGTCTTCCCTTTCCCCCCTTTTCCTTTTTCCCTTTCTAGGTCGTGGAGATGCCGCGCGTCTATATCGGCCGCTTAAGCTACCATGTACGGGAAAAGGATATTCAGCGCTTCTTCAGCGGCTACGGCCGCTTGCTCGAGGTCGATTTAAAAAATGGGTGAGGCGACCATAGGAGGAGGAGGAGACACGGAGAGATTGCCGTGGGCCACTTTGAGGCGGGAAGGCGAGAGCGCCGCTGGGGTGGCGAGGCGGATAGGCGCGCGAGCCGTTGATCAGCGCCCGGCGCCGGCCTGTCAATGTCTCCCTCGTGCCGCGTGGCGTCCTGCTCAAAATGGCGGCTCAGGGCGGCCTCCCCCTATTGTCCGACGGGTGGGCTGGGGGAACCCAAAGGAAGGGGGGCAGCGCGCGGGTTGGGGTGCCGTCCCCTCGACGCAGAAGAGGTGTCTGGTTGGGGTAACGAGCGGAACGGCTCTCGCGGGAGTCGTGAGCTTCCCAGGCCGGCCGTGCTCTGCCAGTGACCGGCAGCGTCTTTGTTCCCTCCCCGCCCCTCTTCCAGGTATGGGTTTGTGGAATTCGAGGATTCCCGCGATGCGGAGGATGCCGTTTACGAGCTGAACGGCAAGGACCTGTGCGGGGAGCGGGTGATTGTGGAGCACGCCCGCGGTCCCCGCCGGGACAGGGACGGCTACAGCTACAGCAGCCGCAGTGAGTGTGGCTCCGGCGCGGCCTACTTCAGGCGCGCGGAGGAGGGGAGGGGAGGGGAAAGTCGGGTTGGAGGGTAGCGAGAGAGAGCAGGCCGGGGGTGCTCGCAGGGGAGGTGGAGCGTGGGCGGGGTTAGTTGCTCCGTCAGGGGTTGGGGATGCGCGGGTCGGGGTGGGGATCGTGAAGCGACAGGCCATTTGAGACAGATTTTTGCGGAGGGAGGCTTGGTAGCTTATGAGGGGCTTGTGTTACTGGTGGGCTGTACTGTCAGAAAGGGGTTGAAACTTCCCTGTTAATATTATACTCTTGGAAGTTTTTTTTATGGGAATTCATAAAACGTAATGTTGATTGCACTCATGAGCGCAAAATATCGGGCTGAAGCATGGGGCAGAGTTGGGAGGAATAGTTGGGGTTTTATACTAAAATCTCACTGCTCTTAATTAGAACATATCTGGCAGAACAATTACCAATAAAAGCAGGGGAGGGACTGTTACATGCTGTAAAGCAGCTTATTGATAGCAGTTCCTGTAGTAGTTTTAAAAACAAGCTTCTCTTTAGAAGCAGTTTTCTTAAAATTTTGCAGATGAAAGTTGGCTAAAAATGTGGGAAGTGGCCCTTAACCATCAAAGAGGTTGATGATATTGAATTGGAGATTTTAAAAACCCAAATGAAGATGCAGTTCCCATTTTGTTTAGCTTTTTTGGGAAAATATTTGGGTCAGTCTGTATCAGTCGAATTTTACATGTTGCTTAAGAGCAGTAAGGTAGATTTCTATTCTGCTGGTTTGTTATTGGTGGGGGTGGGTTTCTTGCAAATCTGTATGTTTGTTTTAAAGTTGTTGCATGTTCAATTCAAACTTTTTAACAAGTCCTTGATGTTTCAATTTAAAAGTGACCAGTGGGGCTGAGGCTGTGTCCACTGAGGCTAAGATGACTGCCTTTCCTGATTGGCCATGGCTTTTCCATACATTGTGTGACCCTTGCCCTATGACCCTTTGGCTGACCTTACCGGAAGCCATGACGACAGCAGCCTTTTGCCATTAGACGCAGGGTGATGGTGAGGATTCCAAGGGTTAGACAAAACTGGTTAAACTGAACTAGGTGACTGTTACCTTGCGTGTGTTGTGGCCAAACCACCACCAAATACCTCATACTGTGATGTAAGTACTTAGTGTAAATTAGTAAACTTTTTGTAAAATGTAGAAATGCATGTAATCAGTTAAGTTTTATATTTTACAATGTTCTGTAAAATAAAACTTAGCAAGGTAAATCTAATAAAGGAGCAGTCACTTTCTAACAGAGTTTAGGAGCACAGTCTTGTAGGATTTTAGTCTTTGATTTGCCCTTAATTTATAGAATATGGCGAATTGAAAATTTTGTTGCAGGATTAGAAAGCTAAAATCCTACTCCTGTAAATACATTTGTAAGTTAAAGTAAACTAACTTCTATTTGCTTTTACATAAGGTTGCTAACTTTGTATCTTTATATGATAAAGGTGGAGGATATAGCAGTCGAAGAGCATCAGGAAGAGATAAATATGGACCACCTGTTCGTACAGAATACAGATTAATTGTTGAAAACCTTTCCAGTCGCTGTAGTTGGCAAGATTTGAAAGTAAGTTGATGTACAAGCCTTTTAAAAAAAAAGTTGTAACACCTAATCCTTCATTAATTGCACATAATTTATAGAAGTTTGCTTAAACTTAAAGATAACATTATTTGAATGTTCTGAACTTTGTTTTAAGTAGTTATAATACTATGTCTATATTTGTAAAGCAAGCGTAATTTCCTTTGTTCAAGGATTTCATGAGGCAAGCTGGTGAAGTAACTTATGCGGATGCTCACAAAGAGCGCACTAATGAAGGTGTAATTGAATTCCGCTCTTACTCTGACATGAAACGTGCTCTGGATAAATTGGATGGTACAGAGATAAATGGACGAAAAATCAGGCTTGTTGAAGACAAGCCAAGATCAAGCCACAGAAGATCTTACTCTGGCAGTAGATCAAGGTATCTTTAGAATTGGTGCTAGTGCCTTTTGAAGATTTCCTGTCATTATGAAACCTTCCAGTGATTGTCGCTAGAAGATTTCACATATAAGCCAATGAGATCTGAACTAGGAGTGACAGATCTTGAGATTGTAGTAGAAAGCTTGTTTAAAGTATTGATTTTGTGTATGGCTGCTGTGAAAATGATAGATTCCATATTAGGCAAAATTAAGAAAGGAATTAAAAATGAAGCATACAAATCTATTGTGTAACTGCATTTGAAATCCCATATACATTTTTGTCAGCCACACTGAACAATGTATGGTGTTTGGGACAGTTTTAAGTGGAGATTTGATGCATTCATAAAGTTGTCCTTGTTTACTTGACCATATTGGCTATATGCTAGAGACAGCATGCCTACATTTCTGGTGTTTATGATATTGTACTGGTATTCTACTTGTGGGTTTCCCACAAGCATTTGGTTGCTCATAGGTTCTTAAATTTATATTGATTTAAAGCTTTTATAAACTATTCAATTAGTAGAACTCTCAGAACAGTGTACAAGATTTTAAAAAATCAAGTTGAGAACATAGAAATGTGGGAAATGTTGCTGGGGGGTGGGGGTCTTTGGATTGGAATACTGCTTAGTAATGAAAGGGGTCATGATAGTTTGAAAGTAGACAAGCAAGTTGATTCTTCTATGCCACCATTTTTTCCAAAAAGCAGTTCATGTAATGCTGCTTAAGAAGAAAGGGGGGTGCATGATATTTATCTGCTATAACTAAGGATATGCTTTTTTTCAGGTCACGTTCAAGAAGGAGGTCACGTAGTAGAAGTCGTAGGAGCAGCCGCAGTAGATCCCGTAGTGCCTCAAAAAGCCGATCACGGTGAGAACTTCAGTTTTATTAATAAACGTTCTACTGCAAATAATATATTAGGTGGCTAATACCTAGTTGATCCTTTAAATTCCTGTTTTTGTGTATAGAATTTCAATTATCACAATTTAATTTTTTTGAAAAGTTCTAAATCTAGGTCTCGAAGCAAAGATCATTCACGTTCCAGATCTAAAGGCAGAAAGTCTAGATCAAAGAGCAAGTCTAAAGTGAAATCTGATAGAGGTTCACAGTCCCGCAGCAGATCCAAAGAGAAGTCTGAGAAGTCTCGCAGTAGATCCAGATCTGTGTCTCGATCACCCAAAGAAAATGGTAAAGGAGAAGAAAAGTCTAAATCAAGATCAAGAAGCAGATCTCGTTCCCATTCACCTTTGCAGCACCAACCTACAAAAGCTCATTCAGAGTCCCCACCCAAAAGAGCTGCATCACGGTCCAGGTCACGATCACATTCAAAATCCCACTCACGTTCAAGATCCAGTTCACAGGATTAAGGCTGGAACTTTCTTCCCCCTTCACTTGATTATGGAACATTTGTATGCCAGGCCAGAAGTCTTTTTATGTTAGTATTGGAGAAGCTGGCCCATTTGGTTGCAGGATGAAATGGCCTGAAAACCAAGTAAATGAGGCAAAGGTTGAAATGCCTAAAACTTTCTGAAAGGTTGTGCAGAGGTGGCAGAGAGCAGGAAAAGAATCTCTTTTTGTAGAAATTAGGGCAAATCTTTGATTTTTTTTTTAATAGCGTTGCAGCAAAAATCTGTGGCATGGAAAATGCGTTTTTTAATAAAGTATGAGTACAGAAGGTTTTTGGAAAACAGTTCTTCCTAAATATTTTCATTATTTTAAAAATAGCTTTTAAAGATACACAAGAGCCTTATTGAACTGATTGGAGATGCCTCTCAAGCCAACACTGAGTTTTAATTTGAACACTTTGTCTATGCTGTCCAATAATTTGCCAAAAGTTACTTTTCTGCTCCTCACCATCTTGAATCAGTATCAACAACTTAATAAAAACTGCCCTCTAACCTTGCACAGTGCAGTTCTGCCTAACAAGAGAAAGCTAATGCAGTGTTATGTATTTGAACAAGGCTCCAGCTGCCATATAAATTTGTTTCCCAAGTACTTTAGTTTATTTTGCTGTCCTTTTGCTACTGCGTAAGAGGTTAAGCAAGTTTCCCTAAAATTGACAGCAACATGGGAACTTAATATACTGGAGCTGAAGTTCTCATTTTAATGGGTTAACTTAAACTAGCCTTTCCCATGCAATTTATACAACTTAATTAGAACCCAGTCACAGTGTCCTTTGTATGTTACAAATCAGTTTAGCAACTATAGCAGATATTAGCCCAGCCTTGTAATCTTTATACAATGTGTAGTTTGACTTGTATAAAATTAAATCAGTGACTCCACAGTTTGTTGTGGTATAGCTTTATTTGGTATATGTTGTAGAATATGTTAACCTTAGTCCTGGTTTGCGAGTAAAGTGAATGGGGAATGTCATAAATGATGACGGGGTTTGGATGAGCTGTGGCTTCCACATTTGCCCCTTGGGGATTGTGGTTTTGTGGGAGCCCAGCAAGCATTGTTTAGGCAATGGGGAAACGAACACACTCACAATCTGAAAGCAGACCATGAGTGAGGTTGTACTTAAGTCTTTGCATGTAACCTACACTCACCAGATTGACATGACAGGACAATTCCTAGAAAGTCATGAAAACAGCCTCAGCAATGGCCTCTATGACATTGACTTTTCAAATAAACTTCAGTAGGCATACGAAGCTGTAATCTAAAGAACAGTTTTTACTTAGACTAGTACTCACAAAGCTGTTGGGTTACTAGGCCCACTTCTGCAGATCTACTTAAGCAGAATGCCAAGGCTTGGAAAACCACATCATCCTAAGTATAAATAGCTCATATCAAAGGCTAGTGGGTTGATGGATCTCACTGATGATTTAGAAAATGCATTACCTATACAGGACATTAAACAGCAGGTCCGATTACTTCATTGGTAAAGCTTTCATCAATCTTGTCTTGAAGTCTAGAATCTAGTATTAGTCTAAAGCTTCCCTTATGTACATGGGTTAACCAAGTTAGCCTAGTACCAAAACTGCTGTTCTTCAGGCAATGTAAAATAAGCGAGAGCATGAGCCTTAAAGTGCACAAAGTGTGTGGGGGAAAACACCTTAGAAAAGTGGCATCATTGCATTCATTATATTCTATTTTAGGTTTAAGAGATGATCAGGAAGGGGATTGTCTCTTAACAGCTGTAGTGGGTGGTCTACTTTGAGAGCATTGGCCTGCACAATTACTCACTTACACTTTTATTTCAGAAGTTATATCCCACTTTTTGTGCATAAGCACTCTCAAATTAGTGTACAATACTGTTTCATTATTTACATCACTAAAGATCCTTAATGCACAAACACTTAAGGCTGTGTTTGAATATTGATAGAAGTAAAATGGTTCTCAATGTAAATCGAGCAAAGACGGAGGCAGGTGAATCTGAAGAGGTCATTTTACAATTTGGGTACCATGACCTAAAAGGACTACTTTGTTTCTGCCAGCTATACTTCTATGCCAGATAGAATAATACAGTCTGGAAACTAGAGAAAATCCTAGTATAAGTGCATATGAAAGGAAGCAATTCATGGAGTAGACTGGTTTTAGTCCAGAGCTTGAAGGACAAGAGCTAGCACTTGAATTGTAAAACAATTGGCAGTTGTTGACACTACTGAACAATAGGCATAAAAGTTAGAAATTAAACTTCTGAAACTGTCTTGAAGGATATTGAATATAAGTAATTCAGCCCAAGATTTGGGAATAAGACCAGATCAGTATCTATATATATCAGGTGTGATATCCAAGAGTACATCCATTCTGAGAACTTACTTGAGCATGCTGATTTGCCAAATTGAGAATCTGAATATAGTGAGGATGGGGCTCAAGGTGATACATATTGTCATATATCACTAACCCATTTTATTCTCACAACAGCTCTCTGAGGTAAGTTAGGCTCAGAGAGTGGCCCAAGGTCATACAATAAACTTGATGGCTGAATGGCTTGCAGCATTTTTTTAGCAGTTAGATGAAGTCTTGTTTACAGAAAAATGTTAAGGGAAAAATGACAGATCTATAAACCTAGGAGTGGTGGTACCTTCCAGCAAATTCCTCCCATTTTTCATGGGATGAGCTGGGCCAATCACTATTTCTCAGTCCAACCTACATCACAAGATAGTTGTGAGGGCAAAAATGGGGAGGAAAGACAGCATACATGTAATAAGATACAAGAAAACATAATTGTCTTATGGCAATAGACATGAGATAGAGACCAGATTGCCATGGGAATTTGGAATCCTAGTTTCAACCTCGGGGAGGTTAGATCAAGGATGGAATTTTGAATTTGGAGTAGCTGCCCTCTGCCCTCACAAGAACATCCTTGGAAATTAGTTCTGTGGGTGGTAGGGAAGGGAGAGCTTCCAACACGTTTCCTGATGGTGCCTCAGACTTCACTCTCTGGGGCAAAAGACCTAGGTGGCCAAAACTGGCAAAGCCTTTTGCAAGGCAGCAGGTGTGCAGAGACCCTCCTGCTATCTTACTGCTTGTAAACCACTGAGTTTGGAGGGTTATGAGCAGCCTTATTGGATTGCACTGCCTCACTATGTTCATAGTAAGGTAAAATGGCCGTCTTGGCATTGTACTATTGTGCACATATTTGCATGTGCATTAGTATTAGAAAGTATTCCTTATTCAATTTGGATACTTCATTCAAACCCTGCAGATGAAGTGGAGTCTCACAATTCATACTGCATCATCCAAATTTATAAAACATTTTCATATATCCCATTCATATTCATCAACTCATGTGAACATCAGCTCAAAAACCTTATTAGCAAAAACAGGCCTGTGCCATCTTAAACAATTCATTCTGGTATAAGCTTTTATGGACTATATAGCCCATGTCATCAAATGTATGCAGTACTTTGCTAATTATGGTGCTTGGAGTATGCGTGTGCTTGAGATGCTTAAAGAGGTCAGGGAAAAAAACTGACAATTTGTTTTTACAATTCTATCTTCATTTCCACTGCATTTCTCTAGAAACAAAAGCCAAAAAGAACCCAGCCCACTAGACAACTAGATAACAACACTGGACTATATTGCTGTATTCTGTTCTCTCAACAAAATAGGAAAAGCAGTCTTAAACTACTTGCAGAGCCATGTCATCACACATTGCAAGTTCTCAACAGTCAAACCCCATTCTTGGCATGTAACGGCACTACTTTGAAGCCACATGATTCGTTCTGAACAACCCACATTGCACAAGTAAGAAAAACTCTCCAAGGCTTCTGCACTCAAGCATTAATGCAAACAGCTGTCCAATTTCCTTAGGATTTGAGTCCTATGTGTACATGCATGGGAGTGAGTTCCATCTTCTACTCATTGAGATTTACTTCTTAGCAGGCTTCTACATATCCCTTCAACACTCTTCTCTCTTACATAGCCAATTTTCCCTTAATATATAACCTAAGGCAATTTGTGACAGAGTCCATATTTAAAGGGGGGACAATAATAATGCGTTATACCTCAGCATCCTTCCTACATATGCTCCACAATGTCAGCAAGGAAATAGAAATGCGCACGAACGTGTGCACACACCTACCTCTCTTTTTCCTCATCACTTCTTACTTAGCATGCTCATTGACTGGCTTGGCTCAGCCAGTGACCCAGCAAGCAATGCCCTCATAGGCAACAGCTTCATTGCACAAAAGACCCTTTCTCATATAGAGGGAAGGGGGGGGTCTTCTCCAAGTAGTCACCAAATTTCATATTTTCTTTAAAAGTGCTTTGAGGCAGTGGGCATATATAAGAAAAAAAAAGTGCCACTCTAGGAAAGGATGCTGTCAGCATGGCAGCAGGATCTGCCAAAGTGAACAAAAAGGGAAAACAGCTGACCACCACAAAAGTAAGTTTCAGTTGCAGTTTTTATCCTCCCCAAGAAACCTACAGAATTTCTCGTCCTGGAGACGTGTAATGAAAAGATTTCCCTGGTTTCTTCGCTCGCCAATACCATGGAGAATTTTAAGATGCCATGTATGTGGCGTTTGTGAGTTTTCTAGGTGCATCAATCTGGGCATTGCTTGAAATTGAGGACTTGGCAAACATGGACCATCCATGGCATTGATGTTCCTACAGTTGATCAGGAGCATATTGACTGGCTGAATAGAGCACAGTTTTACAAAACGAATAAAACAATTTGAGATCTTAAAGTTTTCAAATGGTTGCACTAGAAACTTCTGTACCCTAGTGAACTGCATAGTTGAGTGATTTGCCCTACTGGGTCGCCGTGCTTCTAGGCTCACATATTAATCCAGCCTGGTGTCTCCATATGTGTTGGACCACAACTCCCATCCTTCCCATCCAACACGGCTCTCAATTCTTGCTGGCTTCTGTGCATTAATCTTGCAGCCAACTTTCAGAGGCACCATGGTGGCAACAGATTTGGGAGAAAAATGAAAGATCTTTTTCAAAAGCCAAGGGTTTCCTGTTGCCCCTTTTGGGGGAAGAGGAGGGGAGTCCCCACACTTGCCCCTCTTCCTTGGTCCATTTGGTATCCAGGCTATCTGTATGTAGGATGCCTGCTTCACTCATGAGGCAAAGGTCTGCAACTATTTTTTTGCAAATGCCTTCACATCTTTGAAGGACCGGTTGTGATGCAGTTGGCATCACATCTAGTACATGTAATTACTGCTTGCTTATAAATCAAAAGAAGAAAGGATAAAGGCAATTTGGCTTGCCATTAAGAATTCAGGAATGCTTAATAAAGATGCCCTGAGGCTGAATTGTTATATCACTGTAAAGTTAATAAAATGGTATTCAATGATGGAAATTGGCTAATGCAAAAGTCAACATGTCTACATTGCAACCCATGGTGCCATTCTGTTTATTAAAAGACAAAAAACTATAATCCAGAATCAGATACTGTTTTCAAGTAGAAATCTGAAACTGTAGCATGCATGTAGTACAGTCGCTTTGCTCTGCTTCAGGTTTGGCAAGCAGAGCCTCAATTCATAAATGGCCTTTCTAATGAGGAAATGTGTGAATGCAGGTCTTCAGCTTGTTTTGGAATTTCAAGGGAGGAAGGCCCTTCCAGCAGTAGGGCGAACAGTTGGTGCTGTGAAGTAGAGATAGCCGGCATATTGCTTTCAGAGAGGGAAAAGTAGCAGGAGACATTGCAACTGCTCTGCACCAGCGCGCCATCCCTAGCAGATGCAGCTATCTTTTTAAAACAGTTGCCCATTGTTTCCTGTGGCAGGAGCTAGCTTTGTCTGATTATGAGAAGTCAGCAGCTGCCAGAATGAATGAGGGTCTGCTGTGTCGAAAAGATAGCTGCAGCTATTGAAGGGAAGGGGTTGG